TTCATTTGTTACAAAAAATGGGATAAATGAAGAACCGCTCGACCGATGTTGTGCAAACTTCACATAAACCGTCTACTAAATAGTCCGAACAAAGCCTAAACATTTGGTTTGGATAGGTGAGCACGTTCTTGAGTTATAAAATTACAACGAAAAGTGGCATTAATTCTTATATATAGATAAGTGTGTCACATTTCATACTCCGTCCGCGCAATTTTCGTAAAAAGAGGTACGAAGTTTTTGCTTCAAATATTAATATATAAATTATATTGCTGAGCACTAAACAAGCTGACGTGTGGTCCAAGCATAGAATGGGCTACCTCTTCCTTTCCCGTAGATATCGAAGGAACTCAATAATTGAAGGATGGCCAGCAGTGTCCCTCTTAAAACATCACCAAAGCCTGCGGTTATTAACCCGCTGGCCAAGCGTGGCAATTATTGGCAAAGTCCCCCAAAAGTTCGGCAGTGGACAGTCAAAGACTGGCATGATGATGATGATGATACGTTACTTGCTAATAATGTATCTATCTGTGTGTGAAAGAATTTTTAAAAACCGATTGTGTAATTTTTTAATTTATCCATTAACGACCCGCCCCGGCTTTGCACGGGTGCACATTACATCACATCACATTAGAAACCTCTAAAATTATCAGTATTTCATTATTATATTATGAATGTACTATACATATAAACCTTCCTCTTGAATCACTCTATCTTTAAAAAAAAACCGCTTCAAAATCCGTTGCGTAGTTTTAAAGATTTAAGCATACATAGGGACGGACAGACAGCGACAGCGACTTTGTTTTATACTATGTAGGCCTATGTCCAACAGTGGACAGTTAATGTGAATGAAAAGATTGATGAATGTGGAAGAAGCGAAAGAGGTCTGAATCGAAACATTTGGCGTTCCATTGTTTCTGCCTACCCTTATGGGAGACAGGCGTGACAGATATGTATGTATGTATGTATGGATAGTTAGCGACTGATATGTGGGGGAGGCTTATGTCCAACAGAGTACATTTAACGTGTATGAAAAGATTGATGAATGTGGAAGAAGCGAAAGAGGTCTGTTTGAATCGAAGCATTTGGCGTTCCATTGTTTCTGCCTACCCTAATGGCAGACAGGCGTGACAGATATGTATGTATGTATGTATGGATAGTTAGCGACTGATATGGGGGGGAGGCTTATGTCCAACAGTGTACAGTTAACGGGTATGAAAAGATTGATGAATGTGCAGGAAGCGAAAGAGGTCTGTTTGAATAGAAGCATTTGGCGTTCCATTGTTTCTGCCTACCCTAATGGGAGATAGACGTGACAGATATGTATGTATGGATAGTTAACGGCTGATATGATGGTGATGAGCTAAATTAAGCCTCTGACCGCGACTGATTTTTTTTCCACGATAATAAAAGACATCATTTTGACAACAAACAGCAGTACGAATATTTATCCATCTAGCGAGACTCTGAGAAACAATATCAATCTAGCAAAACAAATATCGCGGGATAACGACGTCGATAAACATAAAAAGTGCGAGCACGTCGAAACCGTGGGATGTGTACAATTGAACTAGTAGATTTATAGAAGATAGAGTTAAGAAATTCCATTTTGACTAAAAATAGTTTTTGGGTGTAACATTATCGTTTCTATCGTGGCGCTCTCCCCTTCTAAGTGAGTCTCGGTAATTAGCTACACTAATATTTGTCCAGTCGCCATGAGAACATATTTAGCTACGTCACAAAGTAATTCTAGTAAACAAGATATAAAGCGAGCTCCACACGTAACGGCTACACGATGAAAGTAACCGTATAGTACGGGTGAGTAATATATTGTAATTTAGATTGCGAATAGAAGAAGAAGAAGAATAGAAATCATTTATTCAAATAAACTTACATTGAAGCACTTTTGAAAAGTCATTACATTTTTTTTTAATTTACCGCTCGTTCGGAAAGCTGTCCCATCACAAGAAGAACGAGCAAGAAACTTGCGTGATGCTCTTTTAAATAATTTTATTATTACTTTACATTTTTAAGTTTAATTGTGTGAATACAAACCACCAATTAGCACTAATTCAATTAAATACTCAAAAAGAAAAAAAAATATTGAATACATAACCAACTGGTTAAACAATTAATAAGAGGAAATCAGTCATAGTGATTAGAGCAGACCAGTCCCTACAAGCAGCACCCGTTCACGAGTATGACGGATGAGCCAGCCATCACTGCGCTCGACCATATTTTAGGGAGCCCAATGACCCGGCCCACCACGCCGCCACAAGTCTGGACATTTTAGTGAGCATGACTACTCAAAACACTAGACCACGTCAAAGCTACTTACAATTTTGTTGAAGGGGTTGTTAGCAATGGAGTTTGACAGCCCTATTGCTAGCAATATGCCCTATCAGGTCGACCTCCACGTGGTCCCTCCTGGAAACCATCGTGAACAATTCTTGTTGAATTCGTCACGATGGGCTAACTGACCTGCTTCATCCTCACCTATCATCTTTCACTGGTGCCCCGCCGGTGTTTACCGATAGCGCGGGTGGGGGTTACCATTCCATTATCACCCATAAAAAAAAAAACCGTCGCCTATACACATGAACAGTACTGTGGGCATAACAGAGTACATACTGTTTCGTTTCGTTTAGAAAGGCGTAAAAAGGAAATAAATATATGAACCCTGAAAAAGGCAAGTTGCCTTTTTATACAACTGGCCAAAAATAGGAGTGTGAAATAGGGGTGGGTAATAAATATATAGTAATATCCATATATTTTAGTTCAAACTATTTGCTTTTAAGCAAAACTATCACTGAGCTGTAGCCTATTTGGGTCACTGCGACACACTTGGTGAAAACATTTATATATGTATATATATATAAAAATTAATGCTACTTTTCGTTGAAATTTTATATCTCAAGAACGGGCTCACCTATCCAAACCAAATGTTTAGGCTTTGTTCGGACTATTTAGTAGATGGTTTATGTGAAGTTTGCACAAAATCGCTCGAGCGGTTCTTCATTTATCCCATTTTTTGTAACAAATGAATTCAATGAATGGCGAATCATTTTGTTAATGGGGATTATTGTGTCAAATTCAAACTTTTTTTTTAAGATGGTGATTGTACTGTCAAATTGAAACTTTTCTCAGTGTCGACAGTACAAGCATGTTGTTATGTCATTCATGCGGTCATTTCATTTTGGACGTGCTTCGATTAAAGCAAATTGTCAGCGATAATTATTGCTTTGTGTTTATATTTTTAAACATATTCGAATCGGCTATTGTATTCAATAGATATTACGAATTTAATAATTCATAGAAAGTTATTCGTGCCTATTTTAGCGGTGCAGAAGAGGGGCAGCTGGGGGCGGGCACATCTATGAAATAGGTAGCTAGGTAGGTACAGATAAAAATGTAAAATGTTGTAAAAATGTCCACCCGTGCGAAGCCGGGACGGGCCGCTAGTATTTTCATATTTTATCTTATTTACCACTAGCAAAGGGACTGTTAGTAATGCGGATCAGGCGATATCCTATAGCCTGTCAGGCGACATCCACATCGTCCATGGAAACCATCATGCTGAACTACAGACGTATTCATGACGATGGGCTAACTGACCTGTCTCTGTATGGGGGGAAAAGGATTGTTAGCAATGGAATTTGACAGCCTCATTGCTAATTGAATTTTGTAATAAAGAATATGTAATTATAAATTTAATTTATTATATTATGACATTTATATGTATGTAATCTGTAGTCAATGTTGTGTACGCCTGCTATAGGTATGCATATCAGCGTGCTACACAAAAAATGTTATTTATGTACATATAATATGTATACTGTTGGTGTGCCTAATTCGAAATAAATAAATAAATTAAATTAGGTCGACCTCCACGTGGTACCCCCTGGAAAAAAATACAATATATATGCACATTCCGTATAAACACTCCTTGTATACATCTCTACTGTGCGCAATAAAGAGTTTATTATTATTATTATTATTAAAAATTGGTTAATTCTAGTGGAATTCGTCACGATGGGCCAACAGACCTGCTTTCATCCTCACCTATCATCCCTCACTGGTGCCCCGCCAGCGTATACAGTAAGCGCAGGCGGGGTTACCATTCCATTATCATGCATTAAAAAAAAAAACATCATATAGTAACAAATTTTGTTATGTTAGTAAGATAAGATGGTTAAATACCTACCCAATAATATAATTATATCGATATAATAAAATTGTAACTAGACGCTGTGTTTTTTTTATGCAACTCAGAATGGCAAACAAGCTGACGACATGAGCAGTACCGTGGACATAATAGAGTATACTGTTTCGCCCATGATACCCCCCCTTGGGTTGCCATTCCTGAGGACTCAGGTGTTTTTCCTATGTACCCTGTAAATTCATGCTATATCCCACCCTTCAAACCGAAACACAGCCATGCAAACACAACTGCTTCACGGTAGAAACACGAATAGGACAGAGGTACCCAAGCAAACGACTTTTGTACAAAGTCTCCCTCTGGTGTGGAAGATATTTAAGAAAATTTTGATACTCTCCTACAAAAGAGATCCATATCAACTATTCACTGCTGAACAGCAGTGAACAGTTAATGATGATGATGATATGACAGGTCTTAATAACAGCAATAGAAGACAAAACAATGATTTTTAAAATTTGCCTGTCTGTGTTTGTTCTGGTATCACACAAAAATTACTGCACCTAATCGGATGCGGTTTTCACAGTTGTATTCCTGAAGGTCTAACTTAAAATCTGGTGTATGTCTCATCTCATTACGCCGTCCAGAAGTAGTCTTTTTTTTTTGTTTCCCTACTTTCATACGTACGAAATACATACAAGAATACCAATCGAAAAAAACAAAACAATCCAATAGTACCAAACAAAAGAAAACAATCAACATGGCGGCCGTACAAATAGAACCTTTAAACTTAAAGGCGATAAAATACAAAATAGTTTTAAGAAAAAAAAAATTAGTGCCTTATTACAGGTTGTAAACGGAGATACGACGTTATCACATATTGTGTCACGTATTGGTGTTCACTTTCACACACATTCACACATATCACGTGCGTATTCCGCGACGGAATTCGCGTCGGAACGTACCGCGGAGACGTGGTAGACTGTTTGTTATGACAATTCGTAATTTCGACGCTTCATTATCAATGAGCGGATAAGATTATGGGCGCAGACGGGCGAGTTGGGTTTAGTTTTCTGCCTAAATTACCTGTCTCTGATAAGTCGTCTTTGTTGCAACGTTATCATAGGCCTATTTAGAGGAGTATTTACGAACTGATACGACATCGTAACCTTCAAGAAAAAGCATATTTCTTTTTAAAATGCCGGCAGTACACCTGCAATGCCTTTGGTGTTGTGGGTGTTCATGGACGGCGGTAGTCACTTACCATCAGATGAGCCGCATGCTCGTTTGCGCCGTGTTGTAAAGTAAAAAAGAGCCGGATGAGATATGCTCATCTCTGAATTGCCTGCTGTCCAAGAACAAGAGTTTTTAACTATGTGTAAAAATACGTATAAGAATATTTTTATTGATGAAAATGGACAGGTAACCCCGCCTGCGGTATCGATATACGCTGGCGAGGCTCCAGGAAAAGAGATGAGAGGTAGAACAATCCCTTTCCCCCATATCTGAGAGTATACAACGTATCTTTTTTATCTTTAATACGCAATTTTTTTAATGCAATTATTAAGGAATTATTAATAAGGTCTAACAGCTCCCTTACTAGCAATATACCCTCGAATATATACAAATATATTCGAATATATACAATCAAATCGATCTCCACGTGGTTTCCCCTGGCAACAATTAATCGCGATGGGTTAACTGACCTACTTTTGTCATCACCTATCATCCCTTACTGGTGCCCGCCTGCGCTATGCCTTGTATACGCTGGCAGGGTTACCGTTTCTCTCTTCCCAGAGACCATTTTTAGAATTCACTTAAAAACGCATCACAATAATGGACAGACATATCAACACACAATTGTGTCCACCATAAACATTATTTACATATATATTATATTAAAATTTGAAGACAACAAGTGGCACATAATCATTAATAACATAATATTATTTATATATAATCATGTTTTTAATTTATTTATACACGCGACCGGTTTCGTAACGTCTTCCTCAGGCGTAACACATAATTGAAACGTTTTTAATAAAGTCAGTGGAACAAAGTACATGTAAATTAAAACCGACTTCAAAAAGAAGGATGTACTAAAATGGATCGTTTTACGTTTGTCACCTCATAACTCCGTCAATTATAAACCGATTTGGAAAAATATTTTTTTTTATTTGAAAGGATATACTTACAGATTGGTCCCACAGAAACTATATCAAAATCAGTCCAGTAGTTTTGTTTTTAGATCAAAATAACTAATTATGACACAACTAAAGTTTGCTGATTTTTAACCGACTTCAATAAGAAGGATGTTCTAAATTCAGTTTTTTTTGTTTGTTGCCCCATACATCGATTTGGAAAATTCTTTTTTATATGAAAAGATAAAGTCACAGAAATTTTATCAAACTCGGTTCTGTAGTTGAATTTTTAAACCAAAATAACTAGTTTTGCCACAACTGCAGTCCGTTTTTTATGGTAGTGGTAATATATTTAATATAATGAATTTGCATAAATAAGTCATAATACCAGCACCAGTACATAGTATAGTATTCATATTACGTGTATATTATCTCTGTTAACATCATAATTATAAAAGAATAGTCCAATACAAAATCTACTGTTTCAATTATTAAGTAAATCTAAACACTGCACTTAAGATTGAAGTATTTTCTTAGTAGAATATGTTGCTATGCAATTGCCAAGTCTATAATGACTTATATGGAAATAAAGATATCTAATATTGATACGGTCACTATAAATTTACTAGGTTTATTTCCTTTTTTTCTATGTCCCTAGATACATCCCAATTCGACATAGTACAACAAACAACAATGGTTAGATTTAACAATATCAAATAGTAAACATTCCAGCCTTTGTGAATTTCGTCAGATGACATATAAAGAGATCAGTACCTCAAAATCAAATGTACCACAAATGTTGGTAGGTAATTGATTAGTTAACAATTTATAACAAAGTTGTTGATAATAGTCGCCTTCATGGACATTAACTAAAATAACCGACTCGGTTTTACTTATGTAATCTCTAATAATTGATCTTATGATATCAAAACTTTTTGTAGTACAAGAACTGTGTTGCGAGACTTGGCAATATTTTTTACATTTTATATTTTTGATGAGTTAGTAGTTACATTAGTACATACAACATGGCAACATGACTTATGTCGTACAGAAACTACAAAATACTTTATAGACATAAACTACCCTAGATGTAGACAGTAAGTACAAACTTTACTACGACCCAAAACGTCCAATTGCAAATTAGTCTTTTCCTGCTTAGGTAATAGGCAAAAACAATACAACCATAAATCGCTTGCCCCCTCTGTTATGTTTATAATCTGTGTGCCATCGCGTTCATTGGACGATTGGTATCAATAGGCGTCTAATGAACCAGTTTATAGTTCAGTTCAGCTGTGATTCTTACACGACAGTGTGATAAGTGGTGATAAAGGCAATCGAGGCGTTATGTATTGTTGCTGTCAGGTGACATGTTTTAATCCTTACTAGTTCTTATCTTCCGGGAGGGGGGAGGGGTTAGAGCTGTGAAGAATAAGTCCGGATAATCGAATATTCGGATAATCGATGTTCGAATAATCGAGATTCAACTGTAATCATAACTACAGCATTAGGTTCTTCAAACAAAGAGATAAAGAGGTTCCTTCAAGGGTCGGCAATGTGCGTGTAATGCCCCTGGTATTGCAGGCGTTCATAGGCTACGGTAAACGCCTACCATCAGGTGGGCCATATGCTTGTTCGCCACCTCAGCGAAATAAAAAAAAAATGTACACGAACGCATTGGAATAAATAAATCTGTTAAATGCAACTTACCCATTATCTTTTTCGGTGGCACCTTCCTCTGCTCTTTCTCCTCACTATCGTCCCGCCTCATCATCTTGCCCCCTTCCTGCCACTTCCTCTTCCTCCCCTCGCGCTGCTCCTCCAGATACATCCCGAACTCCTCCTCCCGTCCGATCACCGCGAACCTCACAGACGACTCCCAACCGAACTCCTCTTTGCGTCCCTCATGCATAATACAAAAGTCCTTTTCGTGAAATTCCATTACACCCCCATAGCGTAGTCACAAAGAAAGTCACTTAATGATTGATGAAATGATTATGAAATGATTTAACTAGTTCCACAACGAGCACGTTAGAAGAGGACGAAGAAGGAATTGTACAATTTCTTGATCCCAGTGGTTTCTCTTTGACGATGGCTCTGGAGTAGTGTGTTCTCAATTTTCAGAAGCATGTTGCTACTGCAGCGACAGATGTGATACTGTATATGGGGTTCTGGGCCCGGGAAACTCTTGTTCGTGGAGCGGCTGCCGATCAAATGTGTTGGGTGACGGTTGGCGAGGGTCTCCATGGGGTATCAGCGGTTCTGCCGGACACGAATCACGTCGCCTGGCTGACTCCGAGCGGGCGGCGGTACTACGGCTCCTAGAAAGATAGAGATGAAGATGAGAAGAGTTTTTGATTTATTCAGCCGTCAACTGTCCGCCACCTGAACATAGGCCTCCCCCTAGAGGGGATTTGTCAGTAATTGCCACGCTTGGCAGGCGAGTTGGCAACTGCAGTTAGGCTTAGTTAGTTAGAGATGTCTTTAGAGGGATGCTGCTGCTAATGGATCCCATAGAAATCTTACCAAAATAGGTACAGTAGTTTAGTTTTTTAATCAAAATAACTAGTTTAGTCACAATTGTTTGTTTGTTTTTTTGGATTCTTAATTATTATATTAATGTGATTGTTTTATATTAAGTGATTATTATACTGTGACAAAGTCAAGAATGTGACATTGACACCTGCTATTGAGTTACACGCGTTGTATAAGATACGACAGAGTTCTTCCGTCCCTGTCTATTGCAGTTATACTCCGTTCGGACTTGTATGGTGCTTGGCTTAGACTATATACATAGAGTGTCTCCATACAAATGCTTCGAGAAAAGCGTGTCAACTTTTTCATACAATTTTACATGATAAATAGTTATGAGTGATTCCTTTATAACTTCTATATTTATTTTGTCTTATAAATTCTGCATCTTTTTAATGCGTAAACTCTCATTCTGTTTATTAAACTAGCGGCCCGTCCCGTCGACATTTTTAACATTTCCCTTCACTGCTCTGCTCCTATTGATCGTAGCGTGATGAAAAGTATACTATAACCTGCCCAGGAGTATGAAAAATAAGTGTACCAAGTTTCGTTAAAATCCGTCGAGTGGTTTTTGTTTCTATAACGAACATACAGACAGACAGACAAAAATTTTACTGATTGCATTTTTGGTATCAGTATCGATCACTAATCACCCGCTGATAGTTATTTTGTAAATATATTTCATGTACAGAATTGACCTCTCTACAGATTTATTATAAGTATAGATATGTTAAGGCCATATTTCGGTCACTTGGCGACCACTAGTATAATATAAAACGTACACCAGATTTTCAATAAACTTAAAAAAATAATGGTCTTAATTAATTAATTTTTTTTTTAATTAATTTGTTACCTCATAACCACATCAATTATAAAACAATTTGGAAAATTCTTTATCTGAAAAGATGAACTAACAAACAAGTATTATAGACATTTTATTAAAATCGATTTATACTTTAGTTTTTAAATTAAATTATCTGAGTTTGCCATGATTAAAAATAATAATAGTAAATCTTTTTATTTTCAGGTACATACCCATAGTTTACAGTCATTGCTATTTTAATTTATGTTTAATTATATTTTTTTCTTTATTAATTACATAATACGTACAAATTATTATTATATTTTTAAATTAATAAAATATTAAACACTTTTTTTTTAAACACAATCTTAATATTAAATTTTTTTTAATACAACTTAGAATGGCAAACAAACTGACGGCCCACCTGATGGAAAATGGTAACCGTCGCCTATAGACATGAGCAGTACCATGGACATAACAGAGTATACTGTTTCGCCCATGATACCCTGCATGCGTTGCCACTCCTGAGGACTAAGGTGTTATTCCTCTGTACCCAGTAAATTCACGCCATATCCCACCCTTCAAATCGAAACACAGCCATGCAAACACAACTGCTTCACGGTTGAAACACGAATGGGACAGAGGTACCTAAGCAATCGATTTTTGTACAAAGTCTCCCTCTGATAAATGTATATAGATGCTGGCGATCATGGCCCAAACTCACCTTTAAATTGAAACAAAAGAATAAAAGATGAGACATAGTAGGCAGACGGGGAACTGCGACACAATTTACCCATAACCTTGTAAGGGAACGCACCTACATCAATTTAACGAACAATAGATGTGTAACTACTTACAGTATTGACCACAATCGCTTAATGACGTGCCGACGATTGAACTAGATCGCATTTAGGACGGACTAGTGTAGTAACTCGACACTGTCACTGGATACACCGTATATGCCGTGTGGTCATACATTATTTTACAGAGGGTACATCTGTTTTATTTATTTATTTTATTTATTTACAAGAAACATGGTAAGTGTATAGATGTTACAATAAGTCCTCATATTTCGCCATAATTAGACATGCAAATATTAAAACTTAAAAAGAAAAAATGTAAAATAAATTAAAGACATATTTTTTGACATTTAGAGATAGATTTTAAGCGAATTTGAAAAGGTGTTTCTTAATTTGATAATTTTTGTGTGTATGTTACGCGATGTGGGCGCTAATTCCGAATATAAAGACACATTAAAAATATTTCATTCACGTCTAATGAAAAACCAAAATGTATTAGTAAACATATGTTATGTACTCCTGCGATACAGGTTTGCCTAGTACGGGAACCAATGTACTCACATTGTAAATTTCTTGTGTTTAATAAATAAATAAATAAAAGACTTAAAAAAAACTAGAATGAGATGAGATATAAATAAAATAATAACATTTTGTATTAGAATTACAAAGTCCTCAGTGAAGACACATGCATATAGGTAGTATATGATATCAAATATCTCAAGTCTGTTTAATTTTTACTCTATGGCTCGTCTCTAATATTTGTTTAAGAAAATCATTCCATAAGAAGAACACGTTGCCTTACACGCTAATGGAATGCTTAATATAGGTACTTTGTAAGTACTAGCTGCTGCCCATACTTTTGTACACGTGAGTTTTAGAATTAGATAAGCAATCAATCGTACACCAGATTTTAAGTTAGACCTTCAAGGATACAACTGTAAAAACTGCATATGGGGAGGAATTATTCGTACTGGGGTCTGACTGACCCATTGCTAGCAATACACTCCATCAGGTCGACCTCCACGCGGTCCCCTCTGGAAAACACCATGATTAATTCTAGTGGAATCTGTGACGATGGGCTAACTGACCTGCCTTTTCATTCTCACGTATCATTCCTCACTGGTGCCCCGCCTACCTGGGGGTCTACCATGCAATGAAATTCCGAATTTTCGGATTCATTTTCGTGTTTTTGTTCACAATGAAATCGACGAAGTCATAAATGTTACCATAAAAGTCCAAAGGAACGATATTTTAGTATCTTTTAATTTTTTTTTAACTGTATATATAATGTTTCGTTCGGACCCGAAATTTCGGAAAATATTTCATGGTAGGACCCTCTGTTTTTCTGCTCACCGACACCGAATTAATTTGGTAATATGCCTCATACATAGCGGTATGGGGGAGAGGGATTGTTAGTAATGGAGACTGAGAATCCCATTGCTAGCAATATACCCAACCAGGTCGACATCCTCGCGGTTCTCCCTGGAAACTAGTATGGTTAATTCCTGATGAATTCATCATGATGGGCTAACTAGTCTGTTTTCATTCTCATCTATCACCCTTCACTGGTGCTCCGCCAGCTTATCCCGTTAGCGCAGGCGGGGCTACCATACCTTTATAGTCCATTAAAAAAAAAAAAAAAAAAAATATATATATATATATATATATATATATATATATATATATATATATATATATATATATATATATATATATACTATCTATCAACTATTATATTCAAAAATTTCTGGTTTAGTGAACCAGAATATAGATATATAAATATAAATAAAAATATAGATAGAGCTAGTATAGATTGAATTTTTTTTATACAACTTAGAATGGCAAACAAGCTGACGGCCCACCTGATGGAAAGTGGTAACTGTCGCCTATAGACATTAGCAGTACCATGGACATAATAGAGTATACTGTTTCGCCCATGATACGCCCCATGCGTTGCCATTCCTGAGGACTAGCTGACTGAGGACAACATTAAATTTATTCAAGTTAAAGTGGCGCATGAATTCCTTCGTGTTTATACGACACTCTAATAGAATATGTCGCACATCATGGGCAGCGGTAGTTACTTAGCATCAGGTGGGCCGCATGCTCGTTTGCCCCCTTGTTTTTTTTTAATGGGTGATAACGGAATGGTAACCCCGCCCGCGCTATCGGTATACACCGGCGGGACACCAGTGAAGGATGACAGGTGAGGATGAAGCAGGTCAGTTAGCTCATCGTGACGAATTCAACAAGAATTGTTCACGATGGTTTCCAGGGTGAACCGCGTGGAGGTCGACTTAATAGGGTATATTGCTAGCAATGGGGCTGTCAAACTCCATTGCTAATAACCTCTTTTCCCTCATACATTGCAAATGTATGTATGCTCACCGTGTGGTCCCGACATAGAATGGGCCATCCCTTCCATTCCCGTGGGTGAGGCGACTTAGGGAACTTATTGGTCGAGAAATGGGCAGCAGCGTCCCCCTTAATTAGACCCCCCATTACTAATAATCCCTTTCCCCCCTGCCCGCTGTGTTGTAAACAAAATGTATCTCACCTTACACACCGCACCTTCCAAACAACACAACACAACACTACAATGATCGCTTGGTAATCGTGAAAGTTAGGCCGTATTGGCAAAATCCCGCTTCGGTAAACGTCGGTATGCCATTTTTTACAATATACAAATATATTAATTAATCGACCATCTTGCAGTCCGTCCGTCCGGCAAGACAAAAACACGGCACTCTTGTGGTGTACACGCTCAATTGGTCTGGAGATGGCCAATGTATTTAATTCGCTGGCCAATAGAATAAGGATGGGCGAATTGAGACCACTTGTGGTAGGGTCACATGAGCGACGGGTCATGGTGACTCTGGGTACGGCTGGGGATGGGTGGGTTCCGCGCAAACTACTATATATGTATATATTTTATTTATTTATTCATTAGTACAAATTTGTGTACATGGCGGACTTAATGCTAAAAGCATTCTCTCCCAGTCAATCATAGGCAAGTGTCAGAATACTCGAATGCGGTACTACTAATTATTGATATACGAGTACATACATACTAAAATTACATATATAAACGAATAAATATATATGAATAACAAATATACTTACACATATATGATATATACTATATTATACACGAAATTGAGAATAATACATATACTTTATTGCACTTGTAAGTTACATATAAAATAATGTATTTATAAATGTTGTGAGCAAGGGTGGACTTATCTCTGACAGAGATCTCTTCCAGTCGACCCGATACAGTGAGAAAGCATTTCGTTAGCGGGCAACTGAAGTGCTACAACTATTAATACATAAACAAATATACAGTTAAATAAAATATTAAAATATCTATACTTATAATAAATCTGTAGAGAGGTCAATTCTGTACATGAAATATATTTCCAAAATAACTATCAGCGGGTGATTAGTGATCGATACTGATGCCAAAAATGCAATTAGTAAAATTTTTGTCTGTCTCTCTGTATGTTCGTTATAGAAACAAAAACTACTCGACGGATTTTAACGAAACTTGGTACAATCATTCTTCATACTCCTGGGCAGGTTATAGTATACTTTTCATAACGCTACGATCAATAGGAGCAGAGCAGTGAAGGAAAATGTTAAAAATGTCAACCCGTGCGACGCCGGGACGGGCCGCTAGTATATAATAAAATATTACATAAATACATACACTATAAATACATATAATACCTACCTACTTATATAATAAATGTTAAAATAAATGAATATACTACTAACTATATTATGTCCCAAAAAAAAAAATTTAATTTAATAACTACTGAACGGATTTTGTCACAATTCTTTTTAGGAATCATTCTGGAAAGATCGTTTCAGTCTGAAAAAGAATTATCCAAATCGGTTTATAAATCACAGAGTTCTGTGGTAACAGACAGACAGTTAGTTGAAAATACGACCGAATTGAGAAACTCCTCTATTTTATAATAAGGCATATCGCTACAAATAAGGCTACTGAGCATATTGTCTTGAAAAGATTGCTCTCAGCAATAAGACCGCCTCACTGTACTTATACAACTGTATCGTTGTGTTTGGAAATTGTCTTGCTTATTTCCTATATTGTATAATGCAAATAAAGTATACTCACTCATTCATTCATTCATATTACTGCTTACTACAAAACCCCCCTAAGGGGGCCGGGGAGGCTTATGTTCAACAGCGGACTGTTAAAGGGCTGATATAATCACTATTTACTACCCCCTCCCACACCCCTTGAAAGTAGATATTAAGCTGCAAAAGATACGAGTATATACATATTTGTCACGCCTATGTCTTATTAGGGTAGGCAGAAACAAAAGATTTGATCCTGAAATTATGTGAATTTTTTTTTTACAACACAGGGGGCAAACGAGCATACGGCTCACCTGGTAGTAAGTGACTACCGCCGCCCATGGTCACCCACAACACCAGCGGCATTGCAGGTGTGCTGCCGGCCTTTTAAAAAGGAATATGCTCTTTTCTTGAAGGTTACGTTGTCGTATCGGTTCGGTAATACTGCTGCTGGAACTTGATTCCAAAGAGTGGTTGTGCGTGGGAGAAAGTGTCTTGAAAAACGCACGGTGGAGGACCGCCACTCGTCCAGATGGTTGGGATGAAATTTTAGTTTATGGCGGGTTGTACGATAGTGACATACAGTTCATTAAATGTTAACATTTTAATGTAGCAAAAACGGCGAAAACGGAATGTAAAGGGTTAAAATTCTGTTCAATCCAATATTATTTTTTGGATCGTGAAATTTGTTTTACAATTGTCTACAGCAGTGTTTTCTAACCTTGTTTGTGCCATGCCCCACTTGAACATTTCTAAAACTTTTATGCCCCCATACATAATTTTTCCCGACAAAGTTTACTTGACGACTCTAATCGCCCAGTTGATATTTTGGTAACGTCAAACGAAATTATACCTAATAAATATTTACAGTGCTTTTGTTAATTTACTTTTTTTGTTAAATTTGGCACCAATATCTACTCGTAGCATTGCATTTAAATGGGCCGGAGAAAGAGGGTTAAAATCGCTTCGAGTCCATTTTTTAATCCCCTCCCCCTAACTATCAAATTGTCCTCCTGTGGGGCGTAGGCCCCACGTTGGGAAACACCGTTCTATATGGAGTAACAAGGGTTCCGGTTAGGCCGTTTCGCTGCAAAACCCTAAAGATGGACACGCAAAATGTACGCAGTTGTGGAATCTACTCACATGTGTGTGAATAAGACGGATGGAGATACAATAATATACTAGAGCAAGTATTTGTACACGCTATCAGCATGGGTACCTCTGTCCCACTAGTGTTTCCACCGCCAAGCAGCTGTGCTTGCATGGCTGTCTTAGACTAAGATGGCAAGTACAACTTCTGGGAGTTAGTATTGAATAGTAATGGGGCGGTTAGTCCCCATAGCTATCAGCTATCAATACACCCTATCAGGTCGACCTCCACGCGGTTCCCTTTGGAAACTACCATGACTAATTTATTAACATTAAATTATCGTCCATTAAAAAAAAATATACTATCTATCCCTATCAGGTCGACCTCCACGTCACGTATATAGTCATGGTAGTTTCCAGGAGAAACCGCTTTCTGGATACTAACATGACTAATTTATTGTTGAATTCGTCACGATGGGCTAACTTTTTTTACAACACAGAGGGCAAACGAGCATGCGGCTCACCTGATGGTAAGCGACTACCGCCGCCTATGATCGCCCACAACACCAACGGCATTTCAAGTATGCTGCCGGCCTTTTGAACTGACCTATCTATTCTTCCTCACCAATCATCCCTCACTGGTGCTCTGCCGTCGTATACCGTTAGTACAGGCGGGGTTATCATTCCATTATCATCCATAAAAAGAATTACAACCTCTCTTAGCAATACAGGTCGACATCCATGCGATTTTCCCTAGAAATCCTCTTGGCTAAGTATTGTACTAAGTATTTGCTGGAAGAAATCTCTTAAATTCTAAAGAGTTAAACTCGCCTGTGTACATTTGATTATTTCTGTCATACATTTACGTATGATTGGTGTGTACAATACAGTTTTAAATAAATAAATATTGTAGAATTTGTCAAGTCAGGCTTCCACCTTCACCTATCATCCGTTATTGATGTGCCGCCAGTGTATAGCATATAGAGGACATTGAGAAAAAGACAAAGGGTAGGTGGCGCACTATTATAAAAATATTATCATATACAAACATATATACATACATACATACATACACATACACACATAGATACACATATATATACACATACATACATATATTATATATACACATAAACATACACATGCACAGATACAACAAAAGAAAATGACGATGGAAAACGAAGAGAGAATACTGAAAAATAGTTGTTGTTGTTGTAAAAATCTTTATTGTACATAAGTCAGATTAAATACTAGTAAATGATTTAGTATACAATGGCGGACTTATCCCATAAAGGGATCTCTTACAGTCAACCTTTGAGAAGCTGAAAGAAAACTGTAGAATGTATAAGGGTAATAACCGTACAATTAAAGATAAACTAAATAATACCCAGAAAAAAAAAAAATTGAATATATAACACAACTAAAGGGAGAAGTAATACGATTTAACAGAGGTTTTGAAGCTAGTAAGAGTTTGAGCGTACAGAATAGAGGCAGCTATATTATCTGTGATAATACAAAGAGATGACAGAACAGTAATTTTTAGAAATTTTAACTGGCTGCATATTTGTTTTGGCATCACGTAAAAACGCCTACACCAAATCGGATACGGTTCTCACAGTTGTATTCCTGAAGGTATAATTTAAAATCTGGTGTATGTTTCATCTTTATACACCATTTAGATTTGTGGTCTATTTTATTCTTCTACTATTAGTCACCAGAGGGAGACTTTGTACAAAAGTTGATTGCTTGGGTACCTCTGTCCTATTCATGTTTCTACCGTGAAGCAGTTGTGTTTGCATGGCTGTGTTTCGGTATGAAGGGTGGGATATGACAGTGAATTTACATGGTACAGAGGAATACACCTGAGTCCTCAGGAATGGCAACGCATGGGGGGGTATCATGGTCAAAACAGATTACTCTGTTATGTCCATGGCACTGCTCATGTCTATAGGCGACGTTTACCACTTTCCATCAGGTGGTCCGTTAGCTTGTTTGCCATTCTAAGTTGCATGAAAAAAAAATAAAGATCGAGGACTTGATCTTGGTACGATGACAAAAAACATGGTCGTAATTAAAGATAATAGTTCTAATAAGCTCGTGTCAGCGAGAGCAACATTCTAATTGATATTTATTGGTGCCTTCAGACGATTCGCGTGTGGCAAATTCCAGTGACGGAGTCGAGATCCGCTATCTCGAAGTGTGTGAATCACTTTTTTAATTCCAAGTAAAATAGAGAAAAAAAAAACACGTCTTGTACACCATGTACAACAAAAAATAAGTGCGTTTGATCCCAGATAACAATGGGCCACCCCTTCCTTTCCTGTTGGTGCTAGGGTTTTTTTAAGGGTGATAATGGAATGGTACCCTCCGCCGGCGCTATCGGTATACGCTGACGAGGCACCAGTGAGGGATGATAGGTGAAGAGTAAACAGGTCAGTTAGCCCATCGTGACAAATTCCACTAGAATTAATCATGATGATTTCCAAGGGGAACCGCGTAGAGGTCGACCTGTGATAGGGTGTATTGCTAGCAATGGATCAGATAGACTTCGTTACTAACAATCTATTTCTCGCCGGGTGTTAGAGGTGGGTAATAACAATATATAAATGTTTTAGTCACAATGTCTATATACTGTAAGGGTGTCGTAAGAGGCGACTAAGGGAGGGCGAGGGATGGGCAGCAGCGTTTCTCTTAAAACAAATTTAAAAACCTAACTGCGGTTGCCAATCCGCCTGCCAAGCGTAACAACTACTGGCAAAACTCCACTTATGGGGGAGGCTTATGTCCAGCAGTGGACAGTTAACGGCTGAAATAATAATAATATAATAAATCTATATACTAGGCCAATAATGAATATGTTAAAAGCCTATTTTCCATAAAAAAAAATTAAAAGTCATCCGGACGTGTGGCGGTCCTCCACCGTGCGTTTTTCAAGGCACTTTCTCCCACGCACAATCACTCTTTGGAATCAACTTCCAACAGCAGTATTTCCGAACCGATACGACAACATAACCTTCAAGAAAAGAGTATATTCTTTTTTAAAAGGCCGGCAGCACACCTGCAATGCCGTTGGTGTTATGGGTGACCATGGGCGGCGGTAGTCACTTATCATCAGGTGCGCCGCATGCTCGTTTGTCCCCTGTGTTATAAAAAAAAGATATCCGATCGATATGGGCGATGACCTTTTATCCGCCATCAGTGTCCAAAGCAACCCAATATATAGATATCGGGTCGGTATCCATTTTACCCATGGTTATGGTGTCGATAGAGGAAATTAAGGGAACTTAATAGCCGAGAAATGGGCAGGAGCTTGTATCTTTAAACATTAGCAAAGGTTAACTGCGGTTAGCAACCTGCTTGTCAAGCGTGACAGCTGCTGCAAAACCTCCCTTATGGGAGAGACCTATGTCCGTATGAAGTGGAGAGTAGGCGGCTGATATGACGATGATAAATATAAAAAAAACAAGTAGATATTGCTTCGTTACAAGGAGTTTCTTCCGCTCCGTAAAAACGGCAGAAATTTATAAATAAACCCAAGACCTGAATCCTATGTTACCGGCTCCCGAGTAAATCAGGGTAGAACTCGGGGTCCATTGCAGTTCCTAATTATGATCAATGACTTGCCAGATGTTGTTAACACTGCTCAGTGTCTCATGTTTGCTGACGATGCGAAGCTATTCATGGCTATCGGAACCATGGAAGACTGTGAAGCTCTACAGCGGGATATCGACAACGTTGTAGCATGGGCTGAACATATTTACTTGGAATTTAATATTTCAAAGTGTAAATCGGCCACATTCACGCGGTCTCGTGTTCACCATTTTTATGTCTACAATATATCTGGTACGTAAACTCTACTAATTGGATCCCCAATATATAGATATCGGATCGGTATCACATGTCTATAGGCGACGATTACCAGTTTCCATCAGATGGACCGTCAGTTCGCCGTACTATGCATAAAAAAATGACTCACCATTAACCGTCTACCCCCAAACCGCTACAAGCACCCAGTCTCAGTATTCCCCAACTCTTGGTCTGCAAACACCAGTTTTATTTCGCATATACCAATACTGATAATTTCCATTAAAGCTTCGAGACGGTACTGGTGGGATACGTTTGTCTCTTCTTCGTCTTCTCTCTTCTTGACAGACTTCTGTGAGTTCCGTCGACGACACTCAAATGATCTCTTTGGTCTGTAATAAAAACAAAAAGTTAATATAACCATAGTTTTATGAGATATATTTGAAATTAAAAATAGAATGGTGACCCAGCCTTTGATATTGGTATACGCTGGTGGGTCCAGTGAGGAATTACTGGTACTTTTATGGTTCTTAGTATAGCAAACAAGTTGACTGTCGCCTATAGGAGGGGAAAGGGAGTGTTAGTAATGCGGACTACCAGTCCTACTGCCTAAAGCCTGTCTGGTCGACCTCCGCGTATTTCCAGAGAGGACCTTTTGGAAACCGTCGTGCTGAATTTCAAGTATATTCATTAATGTAGCCTAGTGGCCTGCCTATTCATTCTCATCTATCATCCTCCCCCCATTACTAACAATCCCTTCCCCCCACGCGGACTAATTAAGAAGTACGCAAGACAATGAGTCTTCAAATGACCTTAATGATACGTCCATGATTTTAGTCTATTTTTTCAACCGATTTCAAAAAAAGGAGGTTCTCTCATTTCGGTTGTATTTTTTCTTTTTTTTTTTGATGGGTGAAAATGGCATGGTAGCCCCGCCCGCGCCAACGGGATACGCCGGCGGAGCACCAGCGAAGGGTGACAGATGAGAATGAAAACAGGCCAGTTAACCCATCATGATGAATTCATCAGGAATTAACCATGATAGCTTCCAGGGGGAACCGCGAGAAGGTCGACCTGGTTGGGCATATTGCCAGCAATGGGACTCTCAGTCTCCATCACTAACAATCCCTTTCCCCCCTTCTTTTATGTTTGTCACCTCATAACTCCGTCAGTAGTAAACCGATTTGGAAAATTCTTTTTTTATCTGAAAGCATATACTTACAGATTGATCCTATAAGAATTACATCAAAATCATTGTAGTAGTTTAGTTTTTATATCAAAATAACTGGTTTTATCACAATTGAAGTTGGTTTTTTTTGTGAGACACAATCTTTAATCTATTTTATCTAAAAGTTTCCTCTTATTTGGGCAATTAATTCATTTATTTATTATAATCAAACTCATCCATTGCAAAAAAAAACATACATTTTTGATTCAAACATTTAAACGCTTGTGCTCTCGTATCAAGAAACATGGCTTCGTAGCCATCAAGCAATTCGCTGAACAATCACGTGAAGGGAAGCTGTCGTTTCACAATTGCTCAGCTAATTGGGCGCTTGTCAATGTAACATGAACTTTATTGCGTCCCAACGAGGACTATCCTTCCAGTGCGCACAGTCGACAGCGTTCAGTGAAGATTTATAAGGAAGGAATCAGTTCGAACCGGAATTGGCGGGAATTTTGCAGTGTTCTGTAGGCAATTCTTTTTTTTTTTATTTATTACATAACCTTCCGCGACCCCCTTGTAGAGAAGCTCAGAACTCCCCCCCCCCCCACAAGGACTCGCGACTCACACTTTGAAAAACACCGATCTATACTATTACGATTAAAAAGAATAATTGAAATCGGTTCATAACTAGCTTACGTATTACATCTCAGTTGTCCACAAAAAAGACAGTTGAAAACATTTTTAAGTTCGTTGAAAGTATTATTACATACTAGTTACAGTCACCGACTTCGTACGTGTATACTAAGAAAATGGGCCAAATCTTTCCTATATTTTAAAATTTTCACTTTCACATGATTTTTCAAAGATCACAATAAAAAAAATTTGCCAAATAGTTGCGGCCATTCTGAAATATATATATTTAGTAATTGATTTTTATTTATATCTATAAATTTCAGAAATAAATAAATAATCTCACCAAAAGGCGTCAAACGCGCGAATAAACTTCAAAACACCCATTTTGAACAATTCTATATTTAAATATAAAAAAAGAAAAAATAACAGAGGCACAAGCAACACTCCAAACAGTTATGAGTCCGAATTGCAGCGTTCAGTCGAATTTCAAGGAGGGGCTTACAATTGGAAACAGATAGATTGATTCTATTATAACGTAGCCATGTTGTTACAGTTTTTTAACCGACTTACAAAAGGAGATTCCTGCTTCGTATGTATTTTTAAACGATTTCAAAATAAATAAAATGTGTGCCATAAAAAAAACAGACTTCAATTGTAGCAAGACCAAGTTATTTTGATTTATAAATTACTGAACCAATTTTGATAAAATTTCTGTGGGATCAATCTGTACATCCGTTCAGATAAAAACAGAATTATCCAAATCCGTTTACAACTGACGGAGTTATGACGTAATAAACAAATAACATACAACCGAAATGAGAACAAAAAGGAGTCTTTTTAAAATAGGTTGAAGAGATAAATCAAGACAAATTACAAAACACATTTTCAAGCAACCAAGAACAAAGGAGGTTCCCATTTCGGTTGTAATTTTGTTTTGCTTAAACGCAGTACAAAGTTAAGATATTCGTCAAATTTTCTTTTTTAATTAATCTTTGATAAAAACTATTTATATTCAGCCAAGTGTATATTCATTCTTTTTTTAAATATAGTCATATTTAACAATTTGAATTCGGTATCTTATATATTTTTCGGTATATTTTTACACACATAGCTAAACAACTTATTCAATCGTGTCATTTTGTAATTAGAATAGATTTTGATTTTTTTTTGATGTTATGGTAACCCCGCCTGCGCTAACGGGATACGCTGGCGGAGCACCAGTGAAGGATGATGGATGAGAATGTAAACAGGCCAGTTAGTCCATCATGATGAATTCATCAGGAATTAACCATGATAGTTTCCAGGGGGAACCGCGAGGAGGTCGACCTCGTTGGGTATATTGCTAGAAATGGGATTCTCAGAGCTATGTATTCGACCAAATTAATTCGGTGTTGAGCAGAAAAACAGAGGGTCTACCATGAAATATTTTCCGAAATTTAGCCCAGTTAGCCCACCATGATGAATTCATCAGGAATTAACCATGATAGTTTCCATATACTAGAAATTGGATTCTAAAACTTAAAATCCCTTTCCCCCTTTTGAATAATATTAGGTGAGGGCAAAAGCAAACAACAAGAATGTTCCATATTATATATATGATCGATGCACAAACATCACTTAAATATAGCATAATTTTACAGAAATGTATTTCTCTTTAATACAATAATAATTGGTGTATAGACGTGCTATGAGAATTATCGACGGTCCTAGGCTAACAGGTGGTAGGGGTGGGTAACACTGTCCCATTCGTGTTTCAACCGTAAAGCAGTTGTGTTTGCATGGCTGTGTTTCGGTTTGAAGGGTGGGATATGGCGTGAATTTACAGGGTACAGAGGAATAACACCTAAGTCCTCAGGAATGGCAACGCATGTGGAGTATCATGGGCGAAACAGTATACTCTGTTATGTCCACGGTACTGCTCATGTCTATAGGCGACGGTTACCACTTTCCATCAGGTGGGCCGTCAGCTTGTTTGCCATTCTAAGTTGTATAAAAAAAAATTACCCACTCCTACTATTTACCATCAGACGGGCCGTATGCTTGTTTGCCATCATAGTAGTATAAAAAAAATTATATTATTCATAAAAGAAGCCTAATCTCTAAATAAAACAAAGTCGCAGTCAACATGTGTCTGTTTACCCGCTTACTTCTAAACCATGCGACAGATTTTGATACTGTTTTAGCTGTCAATTGTCCAATTTTCCACTACGCAAAACCAGAGGGAGTCACTTGTGCAAATAATTAGTATTCTGTCACTTTCTTTCACTTTTTTTTATACCACTGAGGTGGCAAACAAGCATGTGGCCCACCTGATGGTAAGCGGTTACCGTAGCCTATGAACGCCTGCAATACCAGAGGTATTACGCGCGCGTTGCCGACCCTGAAGAAACCTCTTTACCCCTGTTTTGAAGAACCCCATGCTGTAGTCTCTTGGGAAAACCTCGGCAGGGAGCTCATTCCATAACCTGAGAGAAGATCACATGAAGAATTTACTATGAAATAATGAGACAAAACATTAGACTTCAACTTCTCTCTTTCCTCCAATCTATGCAGGGTTACCATTAAAAAAAGTATTTGCTAATTCTCCAATATCTATTGACACTATAAAAACCCAGTGAAAACTTCGAATCGGTGATTTAAAAATGGTACATTCTGCAACTGTGTTTTGCACTTTAGAGCTCCAAATGACGTGTTCTCGAAACAGAAGAAAACTCTTTTCGCTCTAGCGTGAACTAGCGCCATAGAGCACATAATGCACGGCTCTCTGATCGTGTAGACATAGTAACCAGTACATAGGTAAGGCCCGCCGTCATCACACGATTCATTTTTACCTCTAACCTGTCTCGCTCCGATACAAACGTCGTGTTTCTGCTGCAAATCATCGAGCAATTCTTTGTCTATTCCCCACAATTTATTGTCTATGCCATTTTTGTTGTCTACATTCCAAGCGCCGCCATTTTGCGTTTTAGCAACATTGTCTATGGCCAGCATAGTCGAATGTTGAAGAGGATGATTCTCTCGATTATCGAATGCGATATCCACTATCGATGAAATAGAAGGATCCACAATGACGGTAACGTTTGTAAGATTTAATGAACTAATTAAATTGACATTGTTCGTTTTTTCCAAATAGAATTTTGCCACGTCAAATGCTATCGCCATGTACATTCTATGATTTTTCAATTCGGCCTCATTGAAAAAATTGTCGACAGCCATTTTCTCTAAATATTCGTTCGGATGGAAGTTGCATGACCAAACCTTATTGAATTCGAAGTGTTGTCTTTTTAATTTTGGCGGCAACGCTGGCACCTCTATCTCTTTGAAGTATTCGAAGACGTGTCTTAAGGATGGCACATTGGCTTCGAGAAATTCTTGTATAGACGAGTTGTTAGTTAGATAACTTGTCGGACAAAGTAATACATCTTTTTTACGTACCCTTTTCAAATGCTGAAGTTGTTTCAGGGGAATTATCTCGTTTAACGTCAATATTGTTATTGATAAATCTTTCGAGTTCTTTATGTGACCAACGTAGACTTTCTCTGTTGGTATGGAATCGTGTATTTCTAAATTTAAAATAGCGTGTAGATTATTAGGAGAATTCTTTATATTCTCTATTAGATTATCTATGTTTTCTGATACAGGGTCGGCAGCTTTCGCTTTTTTTGCAGGTGGTTCTTCCATATCTTCGGGTCCACTAACTTTTCAACGTACAGCTGTCTTCAGTGATCCCACGCTGAAAAGAGACAAAAATCCCACTATTTCATTCACACACTGCTATTATAAAGACACTTTAAAGCCTGAGTTATAATTTCACCATTTGTTTGATAGAAATAAGTTTTCTTGTTCACTTTTTGTTTTTAAGAATGATATCGCTTTTTATATATGTTACAAGTAAATAAAATTTTAAGCAAAAGAAAATAAAAGGGTAATAAAATATTATTCAAAGATGCAAAAATGAGTGACGAATGAAAGAAATTAGAGGAGAAATTTTTGTATGAACATGAAAGTATAAAAATTTGCATAAACATTTCTGTTATACAATGTATTAGGTACTTATATGTATGTTTAAATACTTAAAATATGAATCCTTTCACAGGTGATAAATTTCTACATAATGTATATCCAAATATATATATATTTTTATAACACAATTTAAATTGTAAATAATTATAAATATGTCCATTTGTTTAAACAGTATTTTTAAATTATTATATTCCAGAGTCATACAGCATTTTTTTCCAGTGATACGAAAGTAGATAATTTATTTTAAATGTTCCTAAATTATAAGTAGAAAATTATTAATAAATAAATAATAATTATTAGAAAAAACTAAGGAAACCTTCTTTAGTTTTTCTAATTTGATTTAAAATAAAAAACCTAGTTATAAAAAGATATTTAAAATTAGTTTTTTAATTTATTACCCTTCTAAATATAATTGAATAAATGCAATTTAATATTAGTTAAAATTAATAGATTAAGTGAATTATTTTTAATGGATGATAATGGAATGGTAACTCCACCTGCATTATCAGTATACACTGGTGGGGCACCAGCAAAAGACGATAAACAAGGGTGAAGACAGGTGACTTTACCCATCATGATGGATTCGTCTAGATTTTTTTTTATGCAACTTAAAATGGCAAACTTGCTGACAGCCTACCTGATGGAAAGTAGTAACCGTCGCCTATAGACATGAGTAGTACCATAGACATAACAGAGTATACTGTTTCACCTATAATACCCTCCATGTGTTCCCATTCCTGAGATGTAAGGTGTTATGATTCTGTACCCTGTAAATTCACTGCCATATCCCACCATTTAAACTGAAACACAGCCTTGCAAACACATTCGCTTTATGGTAGAAACTCAAATGGGACAGAGGTACCCAGGCAAACAATTTTTGTACAAAGTCTCCCTCTGGTATGGACATAGAATTAAACATAATGGTTTCCAGAGGTATTGTGTGGAGGTCGATTTAATAGATTACTAGCAATGGTAATAGTTAGACTTCATTACTAACTAGCAACAGTTACCATTTTTTTTTTAATGGGTGATAATGGAATGGTAACCTGCCCACACTATCGGAATACACCGGCGGGGCACCAGTGAACAATGATAGGTGAGGATGAAGCAGGTCAGTTAGCCCATCGTAACGAATTCAACAAGAATTGTTCACTATGAATAGTTACCATTAAAAAAAATTTAAGATTTCAATACTAGTCTTGGGCAAAATCACCGAACTCAATTGGTGGCAGCCATAAAAAATAAAGTACAATAGAATACTAATCTTGATTTTACTACTTTGTTCATGGCTGGGATATATCAATTTACGGGGAAAAAAGTAGAATATGTCCTTCTCTGTCTTATATAGTGTGTGTATATCAAATTGTATAACAATTATTTGAAGATATTAACCCTTTCCATTTCAAGGGAGGAAGGATTGGTTAGTAATGGGGATTAGCAAGCCCATTGTCACAATGGCAAATCATCCTCCTTGCAGTCCTTGTAAACCATCATGCTCAATACCGACTGAATTCATCATGATGGGCTAACTAACCTGCTTTTTTATTAACTTTCTTTCTCACTAGTGCTCCATCAGCATACATCATTAGCACAGAACGGGTTTCCAGTTCATTATCAGCCATTAAAAAAAAAAAATCTCTTCATGCAGAGTGAATCAAAGAAGTATTGCTTAATTCATAAATTCAGTTGTGGACTATTTGCCAATGAGCTAAATAAATGAAAGAGAAATATTGTTGATTTTATTTAGAAGCTTCATTTCTAGCAATAAACCTAATCAGGACCTAAATAATTCTCCTGGGAAACCAACCATATATGTTACATTTTAGATCCTCAACAAATCTCTATAAGATTTAGTATACATACACTACAAGGGATAGAGAATATAGGATACCTTTTTTCCCAGCCAGTGAACATATCTAAGCCATATGGACAAAGTTAAAAGCACAAGTAAATACTAATTATAATTATATTTTAAATATTTGTTTTCACCCAATAAATGTAAAGAAAAAATTAAAATCATTGCATTTCTATGGTTACTGACTGATTTACCTTCAATATAATATTTTATTTCAATAATGTTTGTATTTATATATTTCAGAAGTTTATTTAGAAGACAAAATATCTATTGTAAAAGACCTATGATGATTTAAATAGGATGTAAATCATAATTGTGACGATACTGTTAAGTTAGGTAAGTAATCAATTCTAACCAATATGTGAATTGGAAAACTATGGTAATACAAGTTTTTTTATATAAGTGTCTACGTCAAAACAATATGCGCTACGCGTTGTGGATGGATAAGAATTCCTAATAGATTCTAATTGGTAATTTAATAAGTAATATTCCATCGAAGTTTAATGTTATTTCGTTGACACAAAATAGTTCATTAAGTGGATCATAAAACAATTATTTTTACAGAAAAACACGTCAACTCAATATAAAAACCGTATACAACACTTATGACAACATTTAAATGTATAAATTTACATATAAATTGCTTAAATTGAACAAGCATGAAAATTGGTAAAATATCAAGGAAAATACCTTAAAATTTAACTTCGAATCTCGCTACGTTTTCCACACAAAACTGCACTTTCAAGGCTTTAGTTATAGATAAAAGCCATTGAATAACTTATTTAAATTAAGAAAAATAGGAAATTTACACGCAATTATAAAATAAAACTTCAGTTTGTAAAGCAAGTAAACCATGAAAAATCAACGATAGAGCCATTGGAATGTTTTCTTTTACAAAGCATCCTTAAAAGATTTTCATTGGTTGATCTGTAATTGATAACTAAAATATCCAATCACATGTTAGTATTTTTGACGTTTCGGTCATTTGGAATATCCTATTGAAAGATGTTCCTTTTCATGCATACTTAAATATATTTGAAGCGCATTTACTATTTTGCGCATGGTAACACAGTTGCTTAGTTACAGTATTTATTTTGTAGAAAATTACGAGACTGTCCCAATGCCTGATTGAAATCAAAGTAATTTGTATGATTGTAAGTCATATCTATTATAATCTGCATATAAAGATTCGTCCTGTACAAAAAGCTATTATTTGCTATAAGGTCGAGTTTTTTTCAAAAGACTGCATGGGATTCTCCAAACAAGGTTTTTTTAAGGGTCGGCAATGCGCGCGTAATGCCCCTGGTATTGTAGGCATTGCGCTTATCAGATGGGCCGTATGCTTGTTTGCCACCTCAGTAATATTAAAAAAAACCTAAAATCCGTAAATATAGTAATTAATACCTTCATAAAAATACATGTTCTTAAAATAATCTCTAAAAGATTGTTTTTATTTCTACAAGAAAAAAAGTTAGGAGGAAACTGAAGAAACAATAATAACATCAAAAAGAACTAAAAAATTACCAGAAAAATATAAGGATTATGTTTTGCTTACTTACGAAGAAGCATTGAAAAGTTCTGAAAAAGAACAATGGGAAAAGGCTATAGAAAGTGAACTGAATTCTTTACAAGAAAATAATGTTTGGAAAATAGTAGATAAAACTGAGACGAAAGGACATAAAATACTTTCTAATAAATGGGTGTTCAGAATTAAAGAAAACGGAAAACATAAAGCCAGACTAGTAGTTAGAGGAAATGAACAACAAGAGGTAGATTATGATGATATATTTAGTCCAGTTGCATCTCAAAATGCTATTAAAACTTTGTTTGCTATAGCCACAGCCAAGAACTACAAATTAATGACGTTCGATGTAAAAACAGCGTTTCTTAATGGAAATTTAAGGGAAGACGAGCAAGTTTTCATGAAAATTCCTAAGGGAGTACAATATGATTCAAAAAATAAAGTTTGTAAGTTATTGAAGTCATTATACGGACTTAGACAGTCTCCTAAAAGATGGTATGAAAAGTTCAATGAAAAAATAAAAGAATTAGGATTTGACCAATTAAAAAATGAGCCATGTATATATAAAAACCAAGATGCGTCAATTTTATTAGCTATTTATGTTGATGATGGAGTAGTAATTGGTAAAACAGAAGAATTAACGCAATTGCTACGTAAATTGAATGAGAAATTTGAGATTACGTCTTATAATGAACCCTCTTTGTATCTAGGTATGGAGTTAAAAGTAAATGAAGTAGGTTGGTATTTGACTCAAACTGAATATACAAAAACACTTTTAAAAAAGTTTAATATGGATAAATGTAAACCAGTTCCCACACCCGTAGGAGAGGGTGAAATAGAGTCAGATGGAGAAATAGAGTACTATGGAGAAGAAAAATGAAAAAGAAATAGTTCTTAATTTGAATATAGTTCTTCTATTGTTTTAGCAGTTGTCTAAAATTGGTATCGAATATACGTTGATACGGAAATAATTCTTTATTGTATTATTTCGTAAAATCACAGGTTATGGGCTAGTTTTTGCGTTTCTGCGCGTAAAATAAATAAAATATAGTAAAAAAAAAAATAATATATTAAATACCTAAAAAAAAGTAAAAGTAAAAGTAAAAAGAAAAATTTCAATCTGAAAATGGTCGTCGCAACAGCAGAAGAAATCCACCGAGTCACTATTTTAGATGATGTAACATCATTTCAGTTATGGAAATTCGAATTTAGGATTCTGCTGGAAGCGAAAGGATTGATACAATATATAGACAACGTAAATATAAAACTAGAAAGCGAACAATCGAATAAAGATGCTTTGACTAAGCACATCATTCTTCAAACAGTATCGAAAAAATATAAAACACAACTATTTGATTGTACGACTGCTTATGAAATGTATAAAATACTAAGCGATTTATTCGAAGGATCGGAAGAACAAAAAAAGATGAGTTTGTTACAAGATTTCTATAATTATAAATTTGAAAATGATATGACAATGGATGAAAATTTCTCAAGGTTTGAAAATTTGGTTCATAGATTAAAACAACTAAAAATGCCCTTTGATGATGCGTTAGTAGAATCCAAAATATTAAACATATTTTCGAATATTGACTCTTACCAACCGTTTGTAACTGCGTGGGAAAGTACTCCTAAAGAAGAAAGAACATTAAAGAATTTAAGATTGAGATTAGTAAAAGAAGAAGAAAGGAAGAAGGAGAGTGTGCAATCAGTGGCCTTAGTTGCTGGAAATAAAGGTAGAATGCTGAAAAAAGAAGGTAATAATAGACAGACAATAACCTCGCATTCTTCTAATAGGTGTTTTAAATGTAATAAGTTCGGTCATATAGCAAAATTTTGTAGAAATTCTTTATACTGTAAAATTTGTAAGAAAACTAACCACAAAGAGAAAGATTGTTTTTTTAGAAAAAATAAGTACGATAATAATGTTGCTTTTTTATCCTCTAGCCGTAATACAATTAAAATGTCAGAAAGTTTTGTTCTCGACTCTGGTTGTACTGTACATATGGTCAATGACAAAACTTTACTTTCTAATATCAAACCTAAGACTATTGATGTTGGTATAGCTAAGAAAGATGTTAGTATGAAGTCGCAATATGTAGGTGATTTTATTGGAACTAAATGTGATGTAACAAACGTATTATGTGTGCCGGATCTTTCGCGTAATTTATTATCTGTTCCAGAGATTGTTAGGAATGGTGGTTCCGTTCTATTTAATAAACATGGTGTAGAGATTCGCAGCAATGATAAAGTAATAACTGGTAAGAAAGAAGACTCAGGTTTATTTGTAGTTAAATTAGAAAAAGAAGTAAAAATAGAAGAACAAGTATATTTATTAAAGGAAAATGATAATTCTGCAGAAAATTGGCATAGAAAATTAGGACATCCAGGTGAGAATATTTTAAAAATTTTACCTAATGTAGCGGATGGTGTAAAAATAGAAAATGAGGAAGGTATGAAGGCAAGTTGTGAAGTATGTATAAAAGCTAAACAAACTAGACTGCCTTTCAATACCGTAAGAACTAGAGCCAGCAGAAAACTAGAAATATTACATACAGATGTTTGTGGTCCTTTTGAGATGGAAACGTGGAATGGTAATAGATATTTCTTAACTGTTTTGGATGACTATAGCCATTACACTAAGGTTTTTCTACTAAAATTTAAAAGCGAGGTTTCTACTTGTTTAAAGAATTTTATTGCAGAAGCAGAACGTGAAACCAACTTGAAAGTTGTGACAGTTCGTTGTGACAATGGTGGTGAGTATACTTCAAATAATTTTAGAATGTATTGTAAGGAAAAAGGAATAAAACTAGATTACTCAATACCATATTGTCCTCAATTAAATGGTAAAGCCGAACGTTTAAATAGAACCTTAAATGAAAAAATACGTTCATTGCTGTTTATGGCTGAAATGGAAAAAGAAATGTGGGGTGAAGCTCTTTATTGTAGCGTATACTTACTCAATAGACTACCAAGTGAGTCTATAAATAATAAAACTCCTTTCGAACTATGGAATGGAAAGCTACCAAATCTTTCAAATATTCATGAATTTGGGTGTGATGCCTTCGCTAAAAAATTGCCATCAACTAAAAAATTGGAAACCAGAGCAATAAAATATAGGATGATCGGATATACAAATAACGGATACAGACTTTGGGACGATGTTAATAGAAAAGTTATAGTTGCGAGAGATATCACATTCGTAAGAAGAAATAGTAAAAATATAAACACCGAAATAATACAAAACCAGAAACTATTAATGTAAAAGTCTACTCAAATAACCAAGATGATCAAATTGAAGAAGTAATACCACAAGAAGAAAAAGAGGCAGAGAAAAGAATTTTAGAAGAAACGGGACAAAGAGAGGCTGAAGAAACAATAATAACATCAAAAAGAACTAAAAAATTACCAGAAAAATATAAGGATTATGTTTTGCTTACTTACGAAGAAGCATTGAAAAGTTCTGAAAAAGAACAATGGGAAAAGGCTATAGAAAGTGAACTGAATTCTTTACAAGAAAATAATGTTTGGAAAATAGTAGATAAAACTGAGACGAAAGGACATAAAATACTTTCTAATAAATGGGTGTTCAGAATTAAAGAAAACGGAAAACATAAAGCCAGACTAGTAGTTAGAGGAAATGAACAACAAGAGGTAGATTATGATGATATATTTAGTCCAGTTGCATCTCAAAATGCTATTAAAACTTTGTTTGCTATAGCCGCAGCCAAGAACTACAAATTAATGACGTTCGATGTAAAAACAGCGTTTCTTAATGGAAATTTAAGGGAAGACGAGCAAGTTTTCATGAAAATTCCTAAGGGAGTACAATATGATTCAAAAAATAAAGTTTGTAAGTTATTGAAGTCATTATACGGACTTAGACAGTCTCCTAAAAGATGGTATGAAAAGTTCAATGAAAAAATAAAAGAATTAGGATTTGACCAATTAAAAAATGAGCCATGTATATATAAAAACCAAGATGCGTCAATTTTATTAGCTATTTATGTTGATGATGGAGTAGTAATTGGTAAAACAGAAGAATTAACGCAATTGCTACGTAAATTGAATGAGAAATTTGAGATTACGTCTTATAATGAACCCTCTTTGTATTTAGGTATGGAGTTAAAAGTAAATGAAGTAGGTTGGCATTTGACTCAAACTGAATATACAAAAGCACTTTTAAAAAAGTTTAATATGGATAAATGTAAACCAGTTCCCACACCCGTAGGAGAGGGTGAAATAGAGTCAGATGGAGAAATAGAGTACTATGGAGAAGAAAAATCAAATTATCCTTATAGAGAAGCCGTAGGAAGTCTCTTGTATTTATCGACCAGAACTTGGTCATGGGCTGGTATAGGTAATAATAGTC